GTCCAGACATTACGGTACGTCGATGGTCTGCAGTGCGACGCCGTCGTAACGCTGTGAAGAGCCGAGACAAGCCAACATATATTTGTCAACCTGGCGGATGTGAGGCTTGCAGCCGCCGTTGCTCTTCCCGATGTTACTAGAAAACAGAATCTGAACAACCTCTGTGCTGTCCAGCGGCTTCAGCTGAAGAATCACACGGCAGCGAGCCAGACAGCGCCGGGCTCTTATCGCTGAGTAACGCCGGTTTAATTAAGTCTGAGCACACGGCCATTGTTTTGCTTTAAGGACGTTAGGTTTGTTTTTCTGGCAGCATCCAGATGTTGGTGAGATGCAGAGCAGCATCAGCTCGCATGTAGACATCAGCCACAGACACATGAACAGATGTGAAGATGAATGACGGGAATGAAAAGATGCGACACCGTGTTTTAATGGCTTTTTAATGGCGGTGACCTCCCAATGAGAACCCATTTCCATTACTGAGGATGAATGGAATGGATTCACCAATAATGAGGGTGATGTTTGGAGTTTAAAACACTCCCCAGACTGACTCATCTTACCTTCTCTTCTGATGTTTGCAACCATTTCTCTGGGTTTTCAGGGCAGTTTTGCCAATATATATCTTTTTCATATTTTTCTCTGTGCCTCGGCGCTCATGTGTGTCTAGTTGTTGCTTCTGCTGCTGCTGTCGGTCGGCTGAATGTCGAAGCCAAGTTTGAACTCTAACCACAAACCAATAGTCAAAGCTCTAAGTCTTGCCTGGGGAGGCAGATAGGAGTTGGCTATCTGCGATGACCCTGGCAAGAGAGCAGAGAAAAACAGCTTTGAAGTCCCACAGATTTAGCAGCACATTTAGTTATGTTGACTCCAGAGAAAAACCGAGATTTCGTGTGCATTCAGAAAATAAGCCTGTTGGGTGTGAGGGAGCAGAGCTGGGGGATCAATTAGATAAGTTCAGTAAACAAACTTAAACAGTATGCAGCAGTGTGAATTATTGCACCTCCAGCTGAACTTTGCACTTCCTTCTCAAAGATCAATGCACAAAGATCTTCTGATATCGTTCTCGTGCTTCTGTGATTCAGAATATAAGCATCAAAAACAGAACCAGCGTTAGTTCCACAGCAGAACAAACCTACTGACTTCACAAACACTCGTCGTCACGTCTCGTTCGTTGTTTATTTCTCCCTCGCTTGTTGGGAATAATTAAATGCAGCCACCAGAAACCGGATGACCCTGTGGAATAGTGAGTTATTGACCAACCGACCGCAGAGGTTATTCCTCCATAAATCAGCGTTATGATGAATGCTGCTTGTTTCCATTTCCATCCCTCATCATTGCTCTGCGACGCCGGGGCTTGAACTCCAGCCTCCTGCACTGTAAGAACTTAATAACCTGCCACTGGCAAGAAGGAAATGCCAAAACAAACCTTTCCAGGTGTGTAAATCTGTCTTCATGCAGCCGCTTTGGTCAGTGTTGTGGGAAAAAATGATGCTACAGATTTCTTTAAAAAGTCAGAACTATTGCCTCCTCTAATGAAGGATCTGCTGCAGGGAACACAGATGAGGACTTGCTGCTCCTGTTCAGCTCAGTGTGCTGCTCGTGGCTCCGGCCGGCTACAGCAGCTAAATCCTCTTTGCAAAACAGCAACGCATCCGTTCATCATCGGAAAACCCGTTTGTGTTGCCACGTTCAAAGAGAAATGTTTGAAAAAAGGAGCAATAATGAAGACATTTGCAGGCTAAACGGCCAAACTGAATGACATTAGGATGAAATAATCTGATTTTCCTTATCGTAGCGCTGCTGCTAGCCCTGGACCGTCCTGTTTCTGTAAAGTGGAGCATTAGTTCATTTTGGCTGGGACGTACAGGTTTGCTTACATCATGCATGTAGGAATTATATTTAAGATCATTTTACATGTTGTTGTTTTTATTTTTTTTAAAATTTGATTTGATCTTGAAACAATAAAATCTGAGAAAGTTTCAAACCAACTGGCAGACTTTTGGCGCCAACATCAGCCTCAGGTTGCCGAGCTGCAGCTGTCTCCTGGAAATGAGGAGCTTGTGTCCAAAGGCCCTCTGGTCATGTGAACAGGACATCATGTCTGAAACGCTTCTAGCAGCTACTAGGAGGGTGGAGGCCAACACCTGAGCCAGAATCTCCACTAAACAACGTTTCAGTAAATCCATATATTTGCCTTCTAAAACCCACCAGGTCTTGTCCTGAGGAGCCACGTCAGCATAAATGAGTAAACAGACACGGGGGCTGCCTGCAGCACAACTTTTATCAGTCTGGCAGCGTGGCAGGCTAGAAGTCCAACAACAAGCCGGAATGAATGTTTTGTTGCCGGCCGCCGTTTCTAATGGCGCCACCACTTATTATTTTTAATCTCCCTTCAACACGGGGCTCCGGAAACAATGGCAGCTTCTGGAAACGCTGCTAATGCTGCTGCTGTAGCCGCCTTCTTATCTGCAAGTCGCAGAGGGAGAGAAAGAAAACAGAAGTAGTTGCTGGAGGAAGTGCGGCGGTATAGAATCCGTCCTCCGTATACCAGCTACTGTACCCGTACTGTATCAGAGCGCCTCCCCCGGGGCATAAACAGCACGTCTCAGCCTCAGGTGTTGTTTGGCAGGATAAACACCATCCACATGAAGGAACTAAATCCAAGTCCTCAGAGAACCTGGCGATGGGCTCGCTGCTGTTTCTACACCGCCGGAGACGCTCCGAACAGCAAAACATATGTAAATCAAGCCCACTTTCCTCTCTTCTCCGTCTCTCATAAGCGTTAAGAGGAGTCTATAGTGTGCACAGAAACACAAGAAGAGCCTGTTTACCTGAAACACTTCCCCCCAGCGCTGCAACTTGTCACAATCATCAGACAGCGCGCTCTACAGGGAGCACAACAAATGGCTGTTGTAGTGCTGCAGACCTACTTCAGGCTTCCACCTCCCACTCTGCCGCTACGCTGGCTGCCTTCCTCCACAACGCCTCTAATAGTGGTTTCATTTAGAAAAAACTATTAATGCAAAACCAACTAAAGGTCGCTAGCAGCCGGCGTCCATCTCGGGTTTACGTCGGGGAGCCCGCACGGCGCTCGCAGGTTGATTTAGTGGTAATGAGCGGCGGGAGGTGAGCGAGGTGGATTCACAGGGACCAGATCAGGGCATTAAACTTTAATGGCCACCGCGGCGTCTCTCCTGAAGTCTGCTATTAGCTGAGCAGCACACAGAACGCAGCGCAAACAGCAGCTCGTCATGTCGCAGCTCAGCCGTCTTTTATGACAACACGAGGTCAGGGAGGATCAAAGCAGGAGTTTGTCCTGATGAAAACACTTGTGATCGGTCCAAACAGCACAACGAGCTGTGTGTCAGCCTCCTAAAGTCACCCAGATGAACCCTCTGCAGGCAGAACAACACAAAGCCTCACGCTAATCCTCCAACACAGCCAACGATAACCGTGTTCTACTGGTGAAGCTCATATTGGAGAACAGATATGTAGGAAAATAAGATCCTGTACATGTGCTCCATGCAAACATCACCGCAGGAGACGTTCCCCACATCACGCCGTCCAACATGTGACTCCTCATTCCAAACCTGTCCTCAGTTTGTATGATTAGAAGAATAGAATAGAAAATAGTTTATTTATCCCAGGCCTGGGAAATTATTGTGATACAGCAGCAAAAAACAAAAACACCAATCACAAAAGAAAAGGGCTGAAGTTAAATACAATTTTTATAAAAATAAGAAAATAAAAATAAAATAAAAAATAGAACAAATAAAATAACTACAAAATCTGCAAACTGCTCTAAAACACTAAGTCACTAAGATAAAATAAAATAAAATCAAGTGTCAAAGTGACGAAAAACAAGCACAAATAAGAACAAAGGAGGTGAGCTGCTGCAACATGCTGCCGAAGTAAAGGCAGGATTTCAGGAGCACATCATGGATTCATCATTAGTCGGAGGCAGGATGAGATGTCTCAGACATACATGTTGCATCTCCAACTTGAAGCCTCTCACTGAGAGGCTGTGCTGAGATTGGAACTATTATGTGCAAATTAAATGAGATCCTTGGACGTTTACAGATGCACTGAAACATGCTGTAGAGCGCCGACTGGACTTGTTCCTTCTGTTATGGTATGGTGTGGCGTTATTTGTGGGTGAAACTGTCAAAATAAAAAACCCAAATAAGTCGTAACGAACCACAGTGATCCTCCAGATGCATCTCAGCTGCTGCACAACTCACCAGTATTACAGCCTGACAGCGAGCAGTGACCCAACACCAGCACAAATGTTGATAATTAGAGGCATTTTAAAAATATCTCCCCCCTCGTGGTGTTGTGCACCACAGTGGCTGAGACTTTGCTTGAGAAACCAAGAGTTGTGTGTTTCCTCTGATGCAACGCTCCAGAAATACACCCGTCTCTTGTGCACGCTGCAGCACCAGCGGCCAGAGAAGCAGCTCTGTGGATTAAGTCACCAGAGCAGTGATGATGACTCGTCAACACAGTTTGCTGCCTGCAGACAAGATCTCATCCCCTCTCTGTTTATCTCTCCTCTCATTTCTATCTACATATCAAAAGCCCAACCTTAAGTGGGCAACGCGAGGAACTTAATAGCCTTGAAACTAATAAATTTAACAAGCGCCCCAACTTTTTATGGTAAACGCTTCGAGTATCGGCTTTATTTGAGCCATTAAAATCTAAGAGGCTGAATTGAATTATCTGAAAATGTCACTGATAACGCGGTGATTAACTGCAGCCGGGACGGGAGCATAAATCTGGATCAGTAAAAACTACGAGGCCTGACCAGGTGAAGTCAGACGCAGTTCAGGGCCGCCGAGCTAATCTGTTTGAAATCCGTGCTGGGCTTCGTAACACACACAGAAAAAAAAAAAGCTCCTGGGGATAAATTAAGTGATAATGAATCAGTTCTCCTGCTGTGTTCTGACTCATCAAACCTCCTCCAGCTTCTTTATGCACTCTTGGCCCCTTAAACAGCGTGTCAGTCAGTCAGCGCCGGGAAGTTTTATTCAGAGGAGTGGAAGTGTGCAGCCGAACAGGCTTCAGAGGAGACGGCCAGCGTTCGATCGGCTGCGACAGTTTGTGGGCACATTTCAGGCCGGAGCTGATCAGAGTCACCACAGGAGACGTTCCTGCTTTACACTGTGGTGCATCTGTGGCTGAAACGTCAGGAGGGACGGAGGTAACGAACCCCTCCCATTAGGGCTCATTCTCTTTAGATCATGTTTCCCCAAATGTGAGTCGAAGCTATCTCACCGGACTGATATAAAAACCGTTTGACGGAGGCTTTCTAGGCGACATGCTGCACCTTTAAACAGGGAGTTGAATTGCAGCCCCATCTGTAAGTGGCTGCTGCCAAACCACCCTCCGCTGCAGCGTGATGCTGGCAGCTCACCGCTCCTCATGGTCCAATCTAAACCCACTTTGTTATGCTGCAAAGTGCAATACATCTTTGCATTGGCTGAATCACCATCTGTCGCACGGCGCAGGATCTGACAGGTCTATGGTGGAAAACAGTCATCACACAGCTTCATGTGGAGGACGGTTTCCTGGTCAGATGTTAACTGATCAGTGATCGTCTGACGTGTTGTCACTGAGTAGCGTCTCCAGTGA